GCCGGGGCTGCTGCGGGAGCGCGAGCTGGCCCTGGGCACCCTCAACAAGGTGTTCGCGTCGCAGTGGCTGAGCGCCAGGCAGGTGGTGTGCGGCACCAAGTGCAACACGCTCTTCGTGGTGGACGTGCAGTCGGGCCAGATCACGCGCATCCCGCTCATGCGGGACCGCGCCCCCGAGCTGGGCCGCGCGCAGCCCAGCTGCGGCATCCACGCCATCGAGCTGAACCCCTCCAGGACGCTGCTGGCCACCGGCGGCGAGAACCCCAACAGCCTGGCTGTCTACCAGCTGCCCACCCTCGACCCCCTGTGCCTGGGCGACCGCTTCGGCCACAAGGACTGGATCTTCGCCGTCGCCTGGATGAGCGACACGGTGGCCGTCAGCGGGTCCCGAGACGGCACCGTCGCTCTCTGGAGAATCGATCCCGACACGTTCAACGGCAGGAGCGCCTGGCACGACGACGCGGGGCTCCCCGTGTACGCCCACATCCGTCCCAGGAACTTGGAGACCATCCCCAGGTCCAGCACCAACCCCAGGAACCGAAAGGTGCGCGCCCTGGCCTTTAACCACAAGAACCAGGAGCTGGGCGCGGTGTCCCTAGACGGCTACTTCCACCTGTGGAAAGCCCGGGGCGCGCTGTCCCGGCTGCTGTCCATCAAGCTGCCCTACTGCAGAGAGAACGTGTGCCTGACCTACTGCGAGGAGCTGTCCCTCTACGCCGTGGGCTCGCAGTCCCACGTCTCCTTTCTGGATCCCCGCCAGCGCCAGCAGAACATCCCGCCCCTGTGCTCCCGAGACGGCGGCACCGGCGTGCGCTCGCTCAGCTTCTACCAGCACATGGTCACCGTGGGCACGGGCCACGGCTCCCTGCTCTTCTATGACGTCCGCGCGCAGAAGTTCCTGGAGGAGAGGGCCTCGGCCGGCCCCGACTGCTCCCCGGGGCCCACCGGGAGGAAGCTGCGGCTCACCTGCGGCAGGGGCTGGCTCAGCCACGACGACCTGTGGGTCAACTACTTCGGTGGCAGGGACGAGCTCCCCAACGCGCTCTACACCCACTGCTACAACTGGCCCGAGATGANGGGCTGGGACGAGCTCCCCAACGCGCTCTACACCCACTGCTACAACTGGCCCGAGATGAAGCTCTTCGTGGCTGGGGGGCCCCTCCCTTCGGGCCTCCACGGCAACTACGCGGGCCTCTGGAGCTAAGGGTGCCCACTGCCTTCTCCAAGTGCCCAGATGCTTTCTGTAGCCCCCCTCTCGGTTTCTTTCCCGCCAGCGTCTTTTTTGCCTTCTCTCTTACAAAGCTTTTTGGTTAATCCCTAATTGTGTTCTCTGTTCGAGTGTTTCACATATGCTATTGCTTTGGGCTGGTACAGCCATGGTTTCCATTACAATTCAGTACTTTAGTTTTTATCAGTGTTTCAATAGTATGTTCGGGTCTATTACGCATTTCTGATGTATGTTATTTCAAAAAAAAAAGAGTGTGCTAAAAAAGTGTCTTTTGGGTTGGTCTGAGGAACTACCCATTATGTAAGAAGGCAGGTTTCTAGCCCTGCTCCAAAGAGAAAATGCATTTCAAGTTCTAGGTTGTGCCACCATTTGGGGGCGTTTCATTTGGATGTTGGAAACTCAGTGTTTGCTGTTTGTATATTGTTGATGCATAAAATACTTAAAAATATGTTCTCTTAGTTAAGAAATCTTACTGTGGTATTCATCCTCTTAATTACAATTTTGATTATTCAATAGAAATTTAGCATCAGTACCCCCAGGCTCTCATTCTTGTTTAAAGCTGCTGTATTATGGCCTGCTTTCTCGGGTAGCATTTCTGTAACAGATTGTCAGGGCTAATCAAAACTGGCCTATATGTGGCAGGACAATCAGGGAGGTTCTTTTTGGGATAAACATTTCTTTAAAATTCAGGTAACATTATCCAGGCAGCCGTTTACAGAGAAAGGCCGCTGTTGTACTCAGTGTAGTTGTTGCTAACAGGTTTTTTTTAATTGTATACATGAATAATTCTTTTATCGCAAATGAATTTGTGATGAATTGCAAAAAAAATTTAAAAAAAAATAAAGATGTTCAGCGTTTTAACAGTTAAGTGGTATGCTAAAGTTTTTGAATGCTTAAATATACGTTTTGTTTTTTCTTCATTGTCCTTCTAGGAATATATTTATCAAAGTCAAAATCTTCCAGGAGAGAAACTGAAACTGAAACATCAGCTATACATACATTACTTTGTATATTTATTTTTGAAAAGTAAACTTATGCTACTAACATGGGTGAAAAGATTAACATCTTGACTACATAACATCTAAATGTACTTGCTATAGGTTAGGACAGTTACGGGTCATCTTCAGTTTTTAAGGTGATTTAACAAACTTTCATTTACACAAATGTACATGTTGGGCTTACAACGACCTACTCACATATACTGTATATTTGTGTATGTTACTTCCCATGTGAGGAAAGGCCCGGACCCTCCAGCCCACGGGCCGATGCTCTAACCACTGAGCCAAACCAGGTAGGGCGATATTTCTGATATTTTTAACTACAGCCATCAAGACTTCCCACTTGCTCATTGTTTTGTTTTTGTATTTTAATTTAAATTAAGTAATCCATGTACATGGCCAAGACAATCATACTTTATAAAAGTTGTACAGTGAAAAGTGAGTCTAAAAGCCCAAGATCCCTGATCTTCTGCCCATAGATCACAAGCGGTACATTAGTGTGTGTGTCTATTTAGAGATATTCTGTGCATGTATAAGTGTATATGTATGTGTGTATACGATTGGTATACAAATCATAGCACCTGCTGCACATACCTGGGCCTTTTTATCACAAAATCTCAGAGATTGTTCCTTACACATATCTATCTAATTCATCTTAACTGTATAGCAGTCCCCTGTATGGCTCAAACATTATTTATTCATTACACTTTTGATGAGCATTTATATTGGTTCTTACTTTCTGTTACTATCAACTATTCTGCAGCGATTACTTTGGCGCATACGTCTTGGTGCACACGTGTAAGGACATCTGTAGGCTAAACTCCTAGAAATGCAATGGCTGGGTCAATTTTACGTTTAATAGCCATTGCCAAATTACCCTCCAAAGAGGTCCTACCAACTTACCCTCCCGTACATAATGCACGCCCTCCCCC